ACGACTCGCATCTGAGAGGCTTGGCTGGGTCGGGGTCTGGCTGTGGATTTGGGTTTGGTTTTGGTTATGAGTTCGGCTTTGGTTTCGGTTTTAGTTTTATGCTTGAAATTGATTCTGTAGATTCAGCCACTAATGAGTGCAGCTCTTCTGCTAGCTTCAAGCGTAAAGCTCTTTGCCTCTTGTCTTGTTTGGCCCATAAAATTTATGAGGTGTTTTGTTGTGTGTTAAGATTTGAACATATCGACACAGAGGGTCGAAGTCCCTCAGCACAGAACCCGATTTGCGCGTGCCCATAATACAATCATAAAAAAAAAAAAGAATACTACTCGTGTTCTGCTCAAAATAAGGCTGAAAGACGAAAATCAAATAGCCGCTAATTAAGGCGAGTTAAGCCAATTTTATGATCGATGTATTGCAAACGGATCTCTCAGCTAAATGCTAAGCTCAGCCAATTCTCGGGAAATCACGCCAGCGACGTCGCACTTAATGACCCGACGGCATGAACAGGATTGACAAGTTTTCAATTTCGCTTGAGTTTACACAAAATGTTTGCGGAGAGCGTCATAAAAAAAAACAGCCTTTGACGTGCAAGTGTCAAATTTTGTTTATGCCCTTCACAAGATTACAATAAATTTTGAAATTTAACGATGAGTTCAAGCCACCATCAAAGACTGTAGAAAGCCTTGTCTCAGTGTATGCCGAGCCCATAATCCGCTAGAGAGGAGTGTCAATAGATATGTTTGAGCATGCGGGCAGATATTTAAATATTGCTTGTAAGCTTATATAAAATCATGATCAAGCAGTATGATTGTAAAACTAAAACAATATCTATAAAAAAATGCTTCTATAGAAATATTTATACATATGTTAATAAATATATAAATCTACAATATGCATATATATATGNTTTACATAAATATATATTTACCTATGTATTATTTTCACAGATTTTGTTTAAGAATATACTTAAATTTACTTAGTACATATAACTTACTTATTTAAAAGTCTATAAAAGAGTTCTTGCTGCACATATCTTCAAGTAAATATTTTTCGAGCATTTTTTAAACTCTTACTTAATATTATTAAAATCTCATTTGATTTCCTTACAATTTTGCTTTGAATATCCAAGCAAATAAAAGCAAGCGCAACAATTATGATTAATGGTTATGATATTGATCCCAAGAAAAAAAATTAAATACAGCTAAAATTAATGCGCTTAAAACTATAATCGGATTGTGAACAGCTTTCGAGGCATTTCAAGTAGAAATTTAATGCTCATTAATTAGCCTAAGTCTTAACGCCTTTACCAATTGTTAGCTAATTAAATATAGTTTTAGCAGACTATAACATTTCGCTGGGAAAGCATATCAAATAAATTTAAATAAATCAATGAAATAATCATTTGAATATTTGCTGTATTTATTTATAATTTACTTATACAAATTAGGAAATTCCTTTATTAAATTACGCAATATTTCTCGCTTACAAAGCGCGATAAATGGATAAAAAGAGTTCGAGAAATCGCCGCAGCGAATGTCAAAAAATTGCAAACGTGCGAGGAAATTTAAAATTCGTTTTATTACAGCAAACAAAGTGAATAAAATATAACGTGGCACATTCAGATAGCTTTGCTGTCATGTTATGTGGTGCTTGGTGCCGCAGGCAGTTCTTGGGCTGTGCATTATCCATAACTCAGAATATCAGATTGATATGTATAACAAAATACTTGGTAGCCACACCTGATATCTGGCCAACATATCTATCTGTACAGATTCGAGCGTGTAATATAATACATCAAAGCATTTGTATGCCAAAGGCATAATAATATTATTTAATTTATTTTTATTTTTTTATTAACATCTCAACAGCTACGTCAAATTGTTAAGCAATTATTCGAATCACACGCCGGCGCGGGTGCGATAAATTTACAAAATTGGTATATAATGGAACGATATGGTATGGTATGGCATGGTATGGCATGGTATGGTGGTATATGACAGATGCGAGGGGTTTGCTTGAAATGTTTTGCATCGCTGCATTCGAGCCAGGCGTCAAATAGTACTGACTGATGATTAATATTGTATGGAGGAAGTGGCTCTGCGTTGGCTTTACATGGCTCAGCGAAATTGTTTTCCACTTAAAGCCAAACCAACTATAAGCGTAATGCGAAGATGATGTCATTTGCTGAAGTCATTAGACATAATGAAGACGAATTTGATTTGTTTATTCGCTTTGTTTCAACGCACAAAATATAAGAATAAACGAAAAAAAAAAAATTAAAAAATAAAAAAAACTAAACTAACGCAAATAAATAAATATATTTTTATGAGTTTTTAATTCTTTTGATCTTTGCTTTCCAGCGAACATTGACCATCGTTTGTCTTCTTATTTACTTTATCTTTTTCGTTTGTTTTTCTTTTTTCCTTTGGTTCCATATGTATTTTTTGGCAAGACTCTGTGGCGCCGGCTTTTCAATTATTTTTGCCAACAATGCAAACTAAATCTGGCACACAATGCGAATTCGCAAACTGTGTAAATATCGATGACTAAAAAACATTGCGTCGCATACGCAGCAAACAAATTGTTGACGTTGTCAGTTTTCTTTGTCGCTTGCCACAAAAATGGACAGCAAAAAAAATCAAAATAAAAATCAAATAAAATTGCAAACCTACTAGGAAGAAAATCGGGCGTAAGCAACTGCAGAATACTTGTTCATAGTTAAAATAAAATAACAGAAACAATTAATAGAATTTATCAATATAGTAATCAAATTTCAATAAAAATAGATCTCAAAATTTATATTTTTCCAGCCAGAAATAGCTGTTTCTATACAGAAGGTAGACTGTGAGAAAAATTAATTTAGTTCTTTAATTTTTAATGTTAAAGAGTGATATATGTATATGGTAAAAAATTGACTTTAGCTGCAAAATATATTGATCCAGCTGGAAAGCATGTCGATTATAACTACAATGGGATATATATATAATGATAATTTTCGATTTATAATGCTCGTAGATAACTGTATAAACTTCGGTAACTATAATTTTTCCTATTATATTGCAGAATGTTTAATTAATTTTATTAATTTATTTACTTTATTATTTAAACACATACAAATTCAGGATTCACATTGCAAAAACCAATATACTTTATATCTTTGGTGAACGAGTATCAACAATTTTTATTACATTTTGCGCAATTTTCAAAATATTTTTAATTTGTTTTTTTTTTTTCTGAAATGTTTTCATATTGATTTGGCGTTGTGTTTTGTGTCTAATTTTGCCACCTGCATTTTGGCATATTTGGCTGGTTTCGGCCAGTTGGCAACTTGACCAATTGGCAGCCCCTAGTTGGTCCATTGATCGATTGGTTTTCACCAAAAATGGTCGCACGCGCAGCTCATTGGCGAAAAGGGTGGCTCATTTTGGTCAAAAATGATTTATTAACGTGCTCAGTTGTTTATGTCGACTTGCCCGCCTCTCTATGGCAACTGAAATCAATTTGTTATTTAACAATTTGTAAACGATCCGTGTAATACTATATCCCATGCGAAACTCTACTTGTAATTCGGATTTTTAAATGAATTTATGCTTGGCATGCATTTTGATATAGTTATTAGTTACGCTCGAATTTTAATGGAATTTCGCGACAATTTTGTTTTTTGTTTGCTGATAAAGGCAAAAGCTTTATAAATATTTAAGATTTGGCAATTATTTTCATTGAAAAAATTTTCTATATAACTTTGTATTCATTTTTTGCAACATTTTTTATTTAATTCTTATATTAATCAATTAATTTCCTTGGTACAAATTTGGATAAATCTTATCTATACCTTTGGATAAATTTTAGACACAAAATAATATAAATTTTTTACAAATTTATTATACCCTGAACCCATTGAAAATGGGAAATCAGGGTATAATGGTTTTGTGAAAAAGTATGTAACGGGCAGAAGGAGGCGTGGCAGACCCCACAAAGTATATATATTCTTGATCAGCGTGACGAGCTGAGTCGATATAGCCCTGTCCGTCTGTCCGTCCGTCCGTCCGTCCGTCCGTCCGTCCGTATGAGTGCGTCGATCTCAGAAGTTATAAGAGCTAGAGAGCTGAAATTTGGCATGCATACTCGTGTGTACCATACGCAGTACGAGTTTGCTTTATTTTTTCGATAAATCGTCCGATAACTTTTTTATCGAGAATAATCGAAAAATTGATTTTGTTTTTTTAGCCTAATTTGAACATTTTTAGACCTGGAGTCTTCAAATTTGTGTTGTATATAAAGTTAATCGATACAAAGATTTTGTAATTTACAGATTTTGGATACCACGCCCCCTTCTCCCCCAATTTGTAAAAAACGCATTTNATTAAGCGGAATGCTCTTGTCAATAGTTTCTGCGAGTTAAACTAAAATTAACTGCTTAAAATTCACGTAATTATGATTATTAAGTTATTATTTATAATTATGTAATTATTACATTTATGGTCCACACAAAAATTTTGTTTTTTTTTTTTCTTTTTTGCGAATATCGAGTTGAGTGTACGAGCATGTTTGAAAGAAACTCTCGCATCATCTGTACTTTTGGCTTTGCTTAGCTAATGCCCTGAGCTACGGTCAGGCCATCATAAATGAACTTCAAAGCAATAGCGACCAATTGGCCATTTGGCCATTTGCCAGCCCACAACTCAAAATATTTGACTTGCCTTAAACAATTTTATTCAAGCCAAACACGTGCAGCTATAACATGAAGCTGGTAATGAGGAAAACAAAGCCAGAACAACAATAATAATCAGCAAATAATAGTAGCTATATAACAGCAACGACAACAACGACAACAAAAAAAGCAACAACAATAAATCAAGTCGTAAATAAATTTTTGTTGAATTAAAAATGGCCAAAGCTCTCCAGTCTCTCCACTCCAGTCTACAAACTATGCAAATTATACGTAACAATAATAACAATAGCAACTCAAATTGTTGGGGCCTTTCAGGCAGGGCTTCTCGTGCTGTTGCCGGCATTTACAATAGGTGCCAGAACAAACCCACAGATAAAGTATCTGAAAAATGAAAACCATTTAAAGCAGTTGAATTGACTTCTGTTCTGCGATATGAATTTTAAATGACTTTGCCATAAATTGATATTTTTATGACGTATTCGCGGTCGTGTAAGGCCGAGAGCACCTGATCGAACAAGAAATTTGCTATTGTTATGGTAATTGCATAGAGTGATGTAAAAAAGTTTATATAAATGAAAATATAAGTAATCTTCTTAATGATTACGTTAACTTACAATAAATTAGGATATGTAGAATATGACAATTTATTAAATAATCTTTTTAATTAGGCAGATGCTCTATTTTGTAAAGCAAACTTTTCGATTATATAACCCATTTAGTTTATAGAATAATAATATTTAGTTTATAGCATTTAATATTTCCCTTTACAATATATTAATTACAATGGTTTCTCGTTTAAGCAAAGAGTTGATATCTTTATTATAGTCTATATAGTTTATTGAAAGCTTATTTTAGAATTATTGGAATTTCAATTTATACAGGACTATTTTTTTTATAATTTTTCATCTATTCAATATATTATATTAAATAAGAATACATCAACTGGCATTCTTTTTTTATTCAATTTTAAGCCTTCAACTTATTTAGTTATTCATTTCAAATTCAAATTTAGAAAAAAATATTTTTACAGAAATCACAATCATAAAATTGAAGAGCTTAAGAAAACAAAATATTTTACATTTCAATTATATAAATGTAAATACTTTGCTTTGAAATATTTATTCTTTTTTAGCTTTGCTTGTTTTATTACCCGATTAAAGCAATCAATTTAATATAATGTGAAAGCACTAGACAAGCTACTGCCAATATTAAAATGCTGTACTTTATGAGCCCATATCTTAAGTGGACAGCTAATTTGCTGTTCCCAGAGAAGATTGCGCACATAAAGAACGGCAGGTCCGCTTATTGATACACGGCAGAGAATAGAACGATTTAATGCCTCGGCCGTGATGTGCAGCCGTAAAATGGGAGGGAGAGGTATTAACGATTTACTAGCCATGACGCTGAGGCATTACAAATGGGGCTCACACGTAATTTATATGGCACATTCACAATTTTATTTGTCTGATGCGTCGGGGCGATCGTTAAATGCGCTCATGCAAATGTGAAAATCGCCTGGTATCAACAATCTGGCAGTAAATGCTATGTGGCAAATGAATTGGCAACAGCAGCTGGCATAGCCGCAGCCGCAGCCGCATAATCGAGTATCTGTAGCTACTAAATACTTGAACTGGATGGAGCCGGGAACAGGTCCATGGCACGGACAGCGGCTCATAAGTAGTATTGTTGGACTGGCCGATCGGGTGCGTAATGAAAAAATGTTTGCCAGTCKTGCGGTTGGCCTCCTGCCACCTCCATATTTGTGCAAAGTGCGCATGCGCGCGTGCCTCACTTGGCCTGAAGTTGAGTCGGATTGGGATTCGGGTGATTTGCCCCTGCCACATGGCCAGAGCTGGCCTGGCCCGGCTTGGCTTGATTGTTTGTCTTTGGCAGTATTCAAAGCACGCGCGTTTACAAATTGAAAACTTGTTAAG